CACTGGTTCAAATGCTGAAGCCTGGTTTGGGTTTCTTAATCTAAGTTGACACATTACTTTAGAAAATCCAGACATCTTTAGGGGAAGAGTTCGGGTCTAAGTCCCCTTTTCCTGTAACAGATTAACACCTCTTTTGGGAGGCTGGTAGAACTCCAACTTGGGAATGCAGTGATGAAATTATTTCAGCCCTTTGTACTGGTTATTATTGAAAACCTGTTTGGTGTCTTATAAAATTCCCTGTGAGAAGTAGGTCTGAGACATCCTCGCACCCCCAGACTGAGCTCACTTTCCTGCATTACACTTAGCCAGCATGTCTTCCAAAGCCCAGTTTTCAGGCACATCCTCCCCAGGACTTCCTCTCTAGCACCCAGGTCTGTCTTCTGCTGGCATAGACACACAGCCACAGAGCAGGAACGAGGGTCCAATAACAGCCCTGCAGACAGAGTAGCTAATGGCCAGTCTGGCATGTGGTGGGAGCCTTCGAGTGTGAGGATGGAAGACACTGAATGTGACATGCCAGTGATTTTGCGCTCTCTCAGTTTCCAAACAGCGACTATGCATTTCTAATCATTCTGATTAGAATGAGAGATCATAGTTTTTGTTTTCACTAAGATAGACTATTCATTACATAGTATAGTGCTAGATCGTGGATAAACACCTATTTTTTGACAAAAATTCAGAAAAGCCAAGTACATTTGAAGGGTTTGCATATGTACTTCCATCCTCTGTTATTTTGCTTGTAATTGGTGCTGAGAGGATTTTCCTCTCTCCTTTTAGGTTTTTGGTTTGGGGCCACACCCAGCTGTGCTTAGGGTTTACTCCTGGCTCTGTGCAAGTGGATCACTCCTAGTGTGGTTTGGGGAACATATGGGGTGCGGGGAGCAAACCAGAGTCAACCATGCGCACGGCAATGCCTTAACCCTGTATATCCCTCTGGCCCTTGAGAGGAGTTTCTTTATGAATTTATCTAGGAGTGTTTTTGTGAATCCGTTCTCCCTCTTTTTAATTTTTTTTAAACCTATTGCTTCCCTCTTTATGTTTTGTTTGGGGGCCACACAAAACAAAGCCCTATGGTACTCAGGGCATTCTCCTGGCTGTGTGCTTAGGGACACTCCTGACGTGCTTGGGAGGCCAAAGAAAGTGGCTGGGATCAAAGCAAGGCTAGCAAGCTGCCTGCTCTTCAGCCCTCTGGCCCTTTCCTCTCTTCATTGGTTCTGCTCAGTCCTTTACTTTGGGTTTCCTTGTGACTAATCACTATATCACTGTATCACTGTCATCCCGTTGATCAGCAAATTACTCGAGTGGGCACCAGTGACGTCTCTATTCCTCCCAGCCCTGAGATTTTAGCTATCTATTCTTACTCATCTTTTCCCAACGATTGGAGGCTCTTTCAGGGTCAGGGAAATGAGATCTGTTACCTGTTACAAATTGGCATATTGAGTGTGCCACGGAGAGCTTGCCAGGCTCTGCCCGGTAGCTTGCCGGAGTCTCCAAGAGGCATAAAACAGTGTGACTAATACAGCACTTTAATTTCACCTTATATCTTCAACTATTACTAACAATAATCTTTATTTGTAAACTAAATAAAGGCAGGTTGCCTTGTGAGGCGCTTAAGATGAACTAACTTGGCAACAGAACATGCAGTAAAGCCACTCTCGCTTTTTTTTTAACTTTGCATTAAAAACTGAGTTTGGTGATATATATTAAAAGTGTTGTGTTATTTCATTTTAAACTTGTTTTCTAATATGCTAAATTGTGTTATACTGACCTAGCAAGACTCAAAGTCTCAGTTGACAATAAACTAAGAGTTTACTCCATGATGGGGCCAGAGAGATAATACAGGTGTTAAGAAACTTGCCTTGCATACAGCAGACCTTGCTCCCTCCCCAGCATAACCAGAGTGACCCCTGAGCATAAAACCCAAGAGTAAACCCTGAGACTGCAGGGTGTGGCCTCAAAAAAAAAAAGAGAGAGAGAGGAAAAAAATATACTCCATGGATAAAGAAACAGACTAAGGGTATAAGATGGTAACAGGTCCTGAGACATGGTTTAGAACTCAGATTGCTAAGAGGAGGCCAAGGAGGGAACCTGGAGACACTGAGACTCTGGTGGGGGGCACGGACCCTGGTGTGGTTATAATGTAGGCCTGTTGTGTGCCTGAAAAAGAACTGTAACTCATGTTGCCTCACTGAGAGCGATCAACCAGCAACGTCAGCAGAGAGAGTTCACTCTATGGGCTCAGGCTGGTGGTTCTACACTGTATGGTTTTCAGAGACCAGTACTCACATTATGTTCTCCTGTCATAGTTTTTTCTATAGATTATAATGGAATTTGCTCGAGCGGGCCCAGTAACGTCTCCATTGGAGACTTTGTTGTTACTGTGTCTGGCATATCGAATACTCTCGGTAGCTTGCCGGGCTCTCCGAGAGGGGCGGAGGAATCGAACTCGGGTCGGCCATGTTGGCCGCTTGTAAGGCAAACGCCCTACCCGAGGGCTGGAGCGATAGCACAGCGGGTAGGGCGTTCGCCTTACACGCGGCCAACATGGCCGACCCGAGTTCGATTCCTCCGCCCCTCTCGGAGAGCCCGGCAAGCTACCGAGAGTATTCGATATGCCAGACACAGTAACAACAAAGTCTCCAATGGAGACGTTACTGGGCCCGCTCGAGCAAATCGACGATCAACGGGAGGGCCTTTACCTTTACCTTTTATAATGGAATAGTCGAATAGCATCATGAGGTATCAGCTGTATTTTAAGCAATACAGCTTTTCTGGTGATGGATACAGAGGAGATGAGTAAGGAATGGGGGAGTTTAGTAGTAAAGAAAGGATTTGATTTTATAAGATATAGAAAATAAAGTAATAAATATATTTATATGGTTTTCAGTCATGACAGTGGATCATGTGGTGTCTGGGATGGAATTCAGGCTTCTTTCTACATGAAAAGCATGCACTCACCCCTTTAACTTATCTCTGTGACACCTTGTATTCTTAATTAATCAAAGAATATATTTCATTGAGTAGCTAAGGCTCCTTTAAGTTCTTTTAAGAGCTGGTGGGAAAACTCTCTAGCTTTTTTTAGCTTATCATTTGTTGCCATTTTATTATTTCAGTGTGCTCTACAATGATTATTCTGCCCTGGATTTATATGATATCTTCTACATATAAATCAAAAGATCTGACCTTGCTTCAAGAAGTCCCCCACTAAAATAATTAAATATTTTATCCTCCCTTGAGCTGTTATATCTTGCGGTAGCACCAAGAAAATCCCATTGCATGTAGCGTTCCTGTTCACCAGGCTTGTAGTTCCTTCATCTCAGCTCAAAACTCCATGAGCAGCAGCATCATATCCCTGGGTTACTTGTCACACCACCTCTCATGAATAAGACATGAAGTAGCCCAGCACCCAGGGTTTTTCTAATGAATCGGAGTCATCTACATGGAGTGTATTTGTGACATGCACATTTGCAGTTGGGGTCCACAGGAAGGACACCATTTCCTGGATCAAGCCACAGAGTGCAAATATTGTGCCCTAAATAACACACTAGTTACTGTAAATGTCAGTAGAGGGAGTTTTTCTAACTTTGATTTAATGAAAGCCTACAGCAAAGCCAGCTGTTAGCACTTCTTAACCACTTGTCAGAGAAAACAGGACGTGGAGATGGCCGAAAAATCTTTTCTGTATACTGTTGTCTTAAAAATTAAAAGTTTCCAACAGGTGTTGAGTAGTGACACCAGTTGGTGACCTTTCGGTGGTTGAATTTCTCCAATCTCCTCCTGTTTACGGGGTGCCTTGGGAGATTTGTGTAAAACCAGTGTGGTGTTTGCCCCAGGAACGCACTCACCTGCAAAACCAGTCCTTTTCCTGCTCTGGGCTTCCCAGGAGGAATAAGAAAGATAAAAATATGGAAGAGAGTGAAGGCAAGGCAGGCGCCAGCCCTCCCCACCACTGAGGGAATAACCAGACTCTTGGAAGCTCTGTGTGTTGTGATTGATGTCATCTGAGTTTTCGGAACAAAGAAACCACTTGAAGCACACACAGGGGGAGGAAAGTATGCAACACTCATTTCTGTAATTTTTGTCATTTCTCGAATGCATTAGTAAACATATGCGGTGGTTAAGGATTTTACCGCCCTTGGAAATCCCTTTGACAAGATGCTGTGTAGACGGAGGGAAGATAATCTTTCAACTGCAGGGGAAGTTTACAGTCTTATTATCTTGAAGTGGAGAAGAAAGTTTCTTCCTCAAATGATTTATAACTTGAAACATGTTGTCATGTTTCAGTAGGCCCCTTTATTAATTCCATCCTTGTCTGTGGCAAATTTTTGAAAATAAATGTACCATCACCGCATCGTCCTTTCTCAATAGCATATTGTATTTATAATAGCGGGCTGGGAGTTGCTGGGCTTAGTTTAGTCATATAGAATGTGGAGCCAAGTTCTGAGTAAGGCCTCTAATTGAATTACCTGCAAAGCACTAACAGGCAGGCTTAGAGGACAGACAGAGCTTGGCTTTTCCCAGTAAAAATGGGTCATGTGTGAGTTGTTCTTGGATCTGTCACTGGTTTCTACAAGCACTTCCACCATGGACCCTGGTCTTTCCCCTTTCCTGAAGCAGAGAAAAAGTAGCTCTATGAAAGCTGGAGACTCCAGAATTATCTTCTTATTTTAGAGAAAATTGATAACAGCTCAAGTTAAATGGAAGAGCATTTTAAGGAGAAATCTCAAGTATTTGTCTAACGCTTGCCAGCATTCCTTCATGGTCATTTCTTTCTTGAACTGAAATATAAAAGGAGATGGCAAAATAGACCATTCCAGACTAGTTTGTACCACCTCTGAAAAGAATTGTTTATTTTAACTTCTGGAGAAAGTTCAACTCTGCTTCTGTTGGTCGGGAGAAAATTTGCTGTCGACTGCTCGCCTTTGAAAATGAAGAGTAATGGGTTCTTTTCTTGTTTTCTCCCTTCTCTCCTGCTCTTTCTCTGTTTGTCTCATCCACAGCGTCTGCAATCCCAGATAATGGAAGAAGGTCCTGTCTAAAGCTCAGAGTCTTTGTGAGACCCACAAGTAAGTACTGGAGAATGAGTTTCAGAGGGTGGCTTCATGGCGCATGCTCTATGTGGTCTGGTTCACGGCGGTAAAACTTTTTTTTTATATCACTGTTAAATCCTGTGTGGTATCTGTTTTGTATATCAGCATTCATGTTTGAGTTTTCATTATATTTTCCCCCTCATCATTCTCCACGATGCTTTTATTGGAAGTCCACAGCAGTTGCTAACTTGTTGTTTCTGAGACTGTTGTCTGCGCACAGCAAGTGGGAACAACATTGGCATTTGGATACATGCCATTGATTGTAAAACAATCTCTACCTAAATACAAGGAAAAAAATAGAGAGAAAGAACAAAAGAAAGAAACGGGAGTTTAAGGGTGTCTTCACTAACATATTTGGCTCTGTTATCTCTATTTTTGTTATAGATAGCTGTATGAAAACTATAGGTGTTCATGATCGTGTTTTCGATGTTAACGACAAAGTAGAAAATTCATTAGAACCAGCAGGTTAGTATGCTTAGAGAATCTCTTTTAACAAATGCATCTCTCTGGTGCTTCAGACCTTTTTTTCCTTTCTTCCTCTTTGCATGTTTGCATGGTATAGTTGCCCTGCTTTGGTTCATTGCTAGCAATGCTAATATTACTTATCTTCTACCTCATTCCTACAGTTTCTCTGTGGAATGCATGTTAGATAAAATGACTTTTCTTTTTTTGGACATGGGTTTGATATAATGCAATATCCTGATACAGAAACCCCATCCGAATGCTAAACTCTCTCAGCTTTTTCCCATATCCTCAGAGCATGCTGGTGAATCACTGTACATATTAATGGATTTGTTTTCATGTAGGAGAAAAAAGTTTCTATTGTATATGCTTACAAAAATTCTTCATGTCCAGATCTCTGGATAAAAGTAAGGCTCTTACACAGATTAGCAACTAATCAAGCATACTTTTCCTTAGAAATTTACATGCATCAATGAACTGATTGAAAGAACCTCCTTCAGTTTAGTTCAGTTATTATTTGTGTGGTTGCTGTCTATAGTAGTTGGTCTGGAAAAGTATAATCCTATTGGCTCTGCATATCACAAATTTGTGTATCTGCTGCTACCACAAATGGATCCATTGTCTATTGAGATAAATGTGAACCTTGATTACTGAGGCAAATTAGTATGAAGAAAACATATATTTGCTCTTCATGCACCCAGCCTTTCCCATCACTATGAAGTAAAGGAAACTCACAAAAGCACTCACTGAAGAACTGATACTACAGTAAGCTATACATTTGTTTAGAAAACTAATCTAACTATTGAACACATCTGGGATGCTGTGTTCATTGCTCACTGAGGTGTGTGATTCTGTACCTCTGGCCACTCACTTTCCTCATGCCCTTGTATGCCGTCTTCCCTAATCTCCATCCCTGACTTCCACAGCCACTCATCAGCCCAAAGAATGAGAAGCATTTCCTCAGCACAGGAAGTTATTGACCCTCTTATGGAAACAGAGGGAAGAGATGCTTCCCTCCATCTCCCAGCAGTAGGACTTCCCTTTCCATAGGGTTTTGGAAATTAAAACCTTGCAGCCTACTTTTTCCTTTGAGTTTTGCTCCTGAGCCCACAGAGTCAATGCGCCTTAGGTAAACTCAACTGAGGAAAGGCAGTACCTCGGGACCTGCAGTGGCTTTTTCATTAAACCTCACAGAAAGCATTCCTGTTTTCTTAAGATGACATCTTACCCGGACGCACATGAGAGGGTGTGAATAAAGCCTTAGTGGCTCTCCAGAAATCTGTTAATCACTCTAGAAAGTTAGAAGGAATGTGCGCTGATGGAGACATTTCAATTGTGTTGTAGAAATCAGGAAGCAATATTGTGGGTTTTCAAGGTACCAGACACCTCAGAAGCTGGACGATTTGAGCCATCAGAGGACCTGAATCTCTTTTTTTTTTCATTACTTGCTTACTTTGGGGGTCATACCCAGCGATGCTTGGTGATTACTTCTGGTGCTGCACTCAGGAATCACTCCTGGTGGTGCTAAACGGACCATCTGCGATGCTAGAGATCAAATACAGGTTGGCCATGGGCAAGACAAATACTCACTGCTTGGGCTCCTGAATTTCTTTTAAGAACCACAAAATCCTCACTTTTCCAATCACTAGCAAGTCCACACTAAAGACCCAACAGATGGAATATTAAGTCATATTGCACCCAACCCAATGTTAACTCTGAAAGTGGAATTCTCTTAGAATTAATTGACATATAGCTGTTCATAAAAAGAAATTTACCCTCTTGGATTGAACAAGTTTTACATAGAATGTCTTCAAGAGCTAAGCATGTTATAACATAACTTACCCCTGACACATATTGATGTACAAGTTAGCCATACTTCCCCAATAATCATCTTTCTGTGTAAATTTCATCTCCTATCAAAAAAGCAGGAGGTTGTTTAGAAATACACAGGAAGCACATTTTTCTCCAGCAATGAAGAGTCATGTTGAAGATAATTCTATCATTAGGGTAATTACCTTTGAATCCATGTAGCAAAGAAATACAGGCTATTAAGATACATTCCTACATGGACATATTCACAGTCATTTAGTAAACAGGTTTTTTTTGCTACTGAGCATTTAAAGTCTATTATAAACTGACATGTAACTGGTAGAAGTTTCCACAGTACAATAGTAGCAGTCAGGGTATATGTATGTTGAGGGAGTGTCTAGTTGTCTTGGCAGGGAAAGTTCCTTGGTGATTCACTATATTGCAGGGCTTTCTACTGAACACCTTCACTAAAGAAGAAAAATACCATTGAGCCACTATGCCTAGGAGGATGAACACAATAGTTAAGTTGAGTACTGCACCATATTCCTCTGAAAATTCACTCAGACTTGCGGCTCTGCGCCAATGTGTCAAATGGCTGAGTGAATCTTCACCTTTACAAGCACTGGCTGTAGACCCACACTGTGGGAATCCAGCAGACCTGCAAGGATTCCCCTGCATGTTCTCAGCAATGTGTACTAATTCACCTGTCTTTGGAATGTATTTGTCTTTTACGTTTGCCTGTACCCTCTGCCTGCCAGATTCCTATCATCAGGGATAGTAGATGATCTCAGGGCAGTCATACTCCACAGAATTTGCTCCAAAGTTTTATTGGTGATCTTGCAGTTAAGCATTAAAACCCTCTAGTTGCAGAATCCCATAGCCAGGAGACAGAATCTGAATGGGCTTCAGAAGAACATTTTCTTCTTCCAAGTCAGAATCATTGTCAGTCTTTAGAAATTGTCTTGTGTTTAGAGAATTTTCATGCATTCCCATGTATTTCCCATTGGGACAGATATTGCTTCGGAAATCTTCCTTAAATTCTAAAATGCTCAGATTTAACCTTTACCTTCTCTGTGACCAGAGGACTGCCTAACTCTGAGCACTATGTTAAAACAAGGACGCTTTGTAGAAGCCCAAGGGTGGGTACAGCGTGTTGTAAGGGAAGAGAAAGACATAGATTCCATAATGGGACAGATTTCCCCCTTTAATCAAAGATAGTACTTTTCCTCAAGGATGTTTACTGGTGGGTTGCTTAGAAAAAGGCTGATTCTGAGAATCCTCTCTGACTGGAGAACTGAAAGGCAGTTAGTGTCCAGCATCACTCAGAAGCAGGCGCTTCCCTCATTGTCCTGTGAGGCCCGTTCACTGTCTGGTGCTCAGCGGGCTTGGAACAGTACATAAAGCTTGCTAACCACCCCAACCACCTACCCACCCACCCCAGATTAGAACAAGAACAGTGCTTCAAACTCTCACTGGGTATCAAGCGTTGCCTGGGTGCCTCTTAGCAGGACACTTCTAAACGTGGTAAGGATGAGGAATTTTATGATATGGTAGTAAAAAGAAGATGAGAGGAGCCTAGTAATGGGTGTGATGTCAGTTGTCTAGATATAGGTGCTTATTTCAAAACTAACACTGGACCCCTTGGGCGATGGTATTTTCATGATGGAAACAGAAGTAGTCCATTGTTCTGACCGACAACATCCTTGTGATCTAAGAAAGTGATTTGGATTTTGAATTTCAGGAGTACCCAGGTCATCTCCTATTTTCTACAGATTTATTACATTTGCAGGGTCAAAAAGAAAACAAGAAAGGGGATCACCCCCACGTATTTGCTTTCCCTCAGCATCCATCGACATTCCCATTGTTGCTTTCAAATCCTCTCTAGTCTTCTAAATGGATGGCCACTTACTGCTGGTTTGTGAAGGTCCAGGAGAGGGGCTCCGTTTGACACAGGGCTGCAGCCACTCTGTGTGAGGACTAGCCTAATGGCTGGGCATTTTCCTTAGCTCATGTCAGGGATAAATATTTACTGAAAAAAGACCAGCAGTGTCTGCAAGGCAGGGCATCCTATGGGCCTGCAAAGCTGCCATCTCAGGACAAGAGGGTTTTCCTCACTGTGAAAGGAGAATGTTCCTCTGGGGCATGATTTGCTATGTTATATGGGGGCTTGGAGATACTCAAAATTCTTCTTATGTAAATGAATAATATCAGTGCTCCTACACCCCAAAGCTAGCCTAGATCTTCATGCCTTCATGGAAGAAATGTGCTGCTTTGGGATAATAGGGGAAAAACTGTAATAACAAGGGCAACCCTCCCCAGGAAAGAGACACATCTTTATGGTGACGTGTAGTGTGGTATCAATGCTGAGTTTAAAATAACAGTTCTCTCTGCTTTGACCACTGAGTGGGTCCAGGATGGCAATTTATGACCTCCCACTGGAAGTTCTGCTAATGCTGAACTAAAATCTCCTTAGAACCTCACTGCTGGCCCCAAAAAACCCTGAGTCTAAAAGCTCCATCTAGGCCAGGTGGGAGAAGATGAGCAGCCATAGCGCATGGCGTGGCTGGCAAGCGAGCCTCCTGTCTATCTTTGGGTACTAATTGCCACAAAGTTCCGTTTCAGAGTTAAGCCTGTTAATCACACAGATCAAGAAGGGCTATCCAAAGTCAGAGGCAGCCTCCTAGAACCCTTTATAGCTAAATAAGAGAGGCTTAACTCACTTAATCCATTTTATTTAGAGGGAAATTTGCATCCACGCTGATAATTTATGGGCAAGCTTCAGCCTGATAAAAATAAAAATAGGCAAGTTCAAGTAATTTAATCCTGGAGATACAGGGCTTATAATGGAAATCACACCATAATTGATTCGTAATTGTAGGCAAGCCACTGGGCACCGGTTTATTGAGGCTTACTGGGCATTATGTATAGTTTATTTAGAATGTTATTGTTTGGACTTTAATTTTTCATATTTAAAAAATGCATGTAGGCATTGAACCACCAGGCATTCAACACTAATCCCGTGAAACCACTAAGAAAAAAGGAAAATGGGTAGCCTTTCTGGTTAACCACTGATACGCCAACATAACTACTTTTTTCCACCCCACTCGCTGCTCCTCCCCCGGCCAGGACACGTTTCTTACCCAAACCTAGTAGCACTTGCTTCTCTAGTGGCACCTTGGGTTTCACAAGAACTTTCGAGATGCTGCAAGTTGAGGTAAAGTGTGTCTGGGTGCTAGCCAGACCCCAGGAGCGGCCATGTGAAAGGTCCCCTGCACTGTACCCCTTTCCCCTGTGCTTTACAGAAAGCATTCATGTTGCTGAGAAAGTCCAATTTGCTCTGCTTCTCTTTTGTTTGCTGTAAATAATGAGTGATTATGCAGACATGAAAGTCAATGGTGGCACAGGGTTCATTACCCTAGTTTGCAAGATTGGCGAGGGCTGTGAACAGCAGGCTGCTGCGGGAGCCATATCGAGGATGTGAAATCTCACTGGAATGTGTACTTTCTATTTGAACAGATGACACTGTCCATGAGTCAGCCGAGCCGTCCCGCGGCGAGAATGCGGCACAGACACCAAGAATACCCAGCCGCCTTTTGGCAATCCTACTGTTCCTCCTGGCGCTGCTTTTGACATTATAGCACAGCCGCCTCCTGTCACCTGTCACAGAAAACACCAGGGTCTTGGAACACCAGAGATCCACATAACTGCTCATCCTAAGAAGGGACTTGTTGTTATTTTTTTTCTTTTTTTTTTTTTTGGTGGATGTCAGATTTTTTATTTGTTTGATTTCTTTCTTTCAGCCCGAATTCTAAGCAACAACTTGGGGCTGGCGCAGGTGCGGGAGGCTCACCTTGTTGCTGCCTCCCTTACCCCCTACCCCAAGCCCTTCCCTGTGACTTCTCTCACCCCTTCCAAATTAAATGGACTCCAGATGAAAATGCCAAATTGTCATAGTGACACCAGTGGCCGTCCGCTCCTGGGCTTGCTGCTCCTCTGAGCTCGGTGGCATGCAAGGTGTCCGCGGGCCGTGGACCAGGAACAATAGTGGCAGATGCAGCCAGTGACGCGAAGCCCAGGAGGGTTTTGCTCTCCATGCAATATTTATGCCCGCTCGTTCAGGACTGTAAGAGGATCGCACAGGGCATCACATCCCCATGTCAAGTCCAGCAGGGAGGTATTAAGAATAGACAGAATGTTACACCATTTCCTCTAGGAGCGGGTAAACGAACAGGCGTCTGAGAGGTTGAGACACTGGTTTTTCTAATATGACTGTCTTAAAGCATTCCTGACAGCAGAGCCCGTGCCCCACAGAGCGGCCCTTTCTTCCTCTCTCGAGGCAAGCTGGGTGCCAGGATGCTAGCACAGAGCGCACAGAACAAGTGTGGAAAGGAAGAAACCCGGGTTTGGTGGGGGTGTGTGTATGTGTGAGTGCCTCTAATGTTTTTGGTGACTGGGTAGTGCACCCCAGATTTTTTTTTGTTTTTCTCCTTTGAATACAGATCACCATGGTGCTACAACCTTTTTTGTTTCTTTTTTAGAAACTCAAAGAGGCATTTTTATGAATAAAGTGACCTTCCCCAAGGCTGACAAGCCAGGGTTGACGAGTGCAGAATTGGCATAGCTCTGGCTACTTCTCTGGGGGACCGTACATACCAAGGAGAGGATGTCAGTGGCCAGAGGAGCAGTGATTTGGCTTTGCTGGAGCACCAGAGTGCCGTGGCCTTTCCCCCGACTCCCACCCCAGAACCCACATTTGGCTCTTCCTGCCACAACTCCTGGGGCTCAGACACACACCCCCACTACGCCACCAAGAGAGTCGTCATCACGACTTGGGAGGGCTGAAGGGAAATTTGGAATAAAAATTCCAAAGTTTGGAATAAAAAACATTCAAGCGTTGATTTTTATATTCTTTCCCTTTCTGACACAGCCTGAAGCATAGGGGGAAACGTGTGTTTATCTGTGGGGAGATAAACAAGATGGAGTCCCAAAGACTTTAACAAAATATTTTTTTAAAAATCCACTAGAATAGAAAATACATTATTTAGATATACTTTATGCTGAGAGTGAGTATATATGCTTGTCCTATTTAAACTTGTGAGAAAAAAGTGGTATCCCTTGATACATTTAGAACTATGGGGTGGGGGTGGGGCTCTCGTTTCAATGTGGGGTTGAGGCAGAAGGAGAAGCAACGCAGGACGGCCTCTGCAAGGAAGCTCAGCGAGGTCAGCACGGGACTTTCTGGTCCATGACAAGGAAATGCAAAGTCTTGGGGGTTGCTGAGGGTGGGCAGCCATGAGTTGGAACACTGAAGCCTAGACAGGACAAAGATCTAGCCACGTTTCACTCTAGCACGAAGTGTCAGCAGGGAAACCTTGCCTTTGGGAACAAAATGGAGAGTAAATGCAATGCTCTGAGACGTGAACATTTGGAAGAATTCCAGCAAAATAACGATTTTTATATCTGTGTTTTTTATGCATATGTAAAAAAATAAATAGAGGGGTCACGTGATGGACAGATATAGTATGGACAGGAGTGAGTTTGCTAACTGTGAGCAGTGCTGAATGACCAAACAAGCAATGAAAGGCAGCTGCGGATGTCCCGTACCCTGGGGAGTTGTACAGATTTTGTTGCAGGGTTATCTGACCTTACCTGATGCTATCGTGTGGCTGTCACTGCAGGGTTATGTGTATCTGGAATCATGCGAGTAGAGTTGCCAGCGAGTAGAGTTGCTAGCCTTGAAGATATAATCATCCCTGGCTCCCCCGCCCCCCGCCCCCAACACCAGGAACTTTTCTGAAGTGGCAGAACCTTAGTACAGGAAGTAGCCTCCATTTCACTGAAATGAAAGTTCACAGCATTAGGTTATTTTTTTTTTGATTGTTATGATTTATATGCTCAGTTCTCTCAGTAATATCCAGTAATACTTCTTCTTAATAGCTACAGGCTGGTTGGTCCAGCAAGGTCAGGTCGAGGAGGGACGGGGGAAAGGTACCTTCTAAAATGGATCAATAGTCAGAACCCAAATAATAACTGCATGTTTTATAGCCACCAGGAAATCAAACGATCCCGTACTGATTCCAGTTAGCTCCGACTACATTTAGCAGTACTAATTTCATTTTAGAATCGGTGACTTCTGTGGATTTTCTAGCACTTGTCTCTAACAAATGATGAAATACTTACTCATGACCCTCTCTGCCGTTGTCTTTCATTTTTCACAGTCAAGTTAGGCTCCTTTCACCACTGTGCCACTACAAATTAAGTTAAAATAAATAAAAAATAGCAAGACTAGCCCACACCAGTAGACCGCGTGCTTCTCTCCCAATTAGTGCCGTAATTGTAGGTGATGTCTGCCGGGGGTGTTGAGGAAGAATATGGGTAGCAGACAGTTTTCATCTTGTTCCCCAAAAGTCCACCAAGGAATACAAAACACAAACGAGCTGGTGGCCTTTTTGTGTCAACGCAAATCAATTTTGTAGCAGCTTTTACTTTCAAAAAACCATTGAACAATTGGAAGGGCTGGCTTGGCTGCCTCAGCTCCAGTTCAGTGACCCCAGCGACCTTTGCCCTGGTTGCCAAGGGCTTTGCAAGGAGAAGCAGGGAAATAAGATTCTGTCTGTTTAGTGGGTACCGTGTATCCTTTACTAGACCAGGTAACAGTTCGTGTTAGCTTAGACTATTGTTTTGTACTGTACTTTCTTGGGTGGCAGAGGAAAGAAAAGTGAAACATTAAAAGAAAAAAAAAACCACCTGCGTTCTTTAAATTCTGTATTATTAGCAACCTCTGTTGTATATAGTGTTTGATAATAAAGCATTAATTTGATTCTTATGTCTTTGTAAGTGAGAATAATAGTCTTTCAGGATACAAAATGTGCATTGAGGCTTTGAAACTTCCAGTGTATGCGTGGCTGAGGCTTGACACAAAGGGCTGGGACAATGTTGGTGCAGAACTCACATGCACTCACCCAATCTTGACACCCCACCTCCCAGCCCCCACCCCACCTCAGGACCTGGGACAACAAGACTTCTCTGCTCACTCGTTTGTCCTTGGTGTTTTCCAGGTCTAATGTTGGAGTCCTCTGGGGTTCCCACCCCACCTGAGTGTGGAGGTTTGAAAGGGTTCATGAGCTTGGTGGCAGTTCTGGACCTTGGTTTAGGATCTTTGTTGGTGGTGGTTTTCAACGACGGTTCCGTCTTTTTCCCAGGAAGAGTTTTGTCAGTATCCTGTGCATTCCTGCCGGGGAAGTTTGCAAAACCCTTCACGTTGGAGGTGGAATAGGGCGCGCTTTCCTTCTCTTTGTTATTGTGAGGCGAAGAAGCTCACAGTCCCTGTGGATTTTCAGGGGCTCCGTTTCTCTCCGGTGCCTTAGCAGCAGCCATTTCATCCGAGTCCCCAGAATGTTAGAAAATCGTTCAAACGCCTCCATTCATTGCTCTCAGAGCTGCAATCACAAATTTCCCTTCTGAAAACCACCTCCACCAACACCCCCATATGTGTACACCCCTCCTCCTTAACTTCTTACATTTATTTATTTTTTCGTCTCTTGCCTTGCTCCCCTGTTTTCTTTTCCCTCACAACTGTTAATGGGCAGGTCTGTCTCTGGTTTGGCATCACTGGGTTTTTCCCAGGCATTTGCCCCAGAGCTGCTCGGATGTGAGACAAATCTCCCTACAATGGGCTTACCCCCATTGTCTGTACAGTTTAATAGATGCTGGCATGTTGGAGGTTACCCATGAGTCAAAATCCGCTTTCCATGCTTCCCCGTGACACCTCATTGAAGCCACTCATTGTGTGTGCGTCTGGGTGTGACGTCCAGCTCCGTGTGGTCCTGTGCTCGTGCTGCCCTGCTTTGCAGTTCCTTTGCACTCACTCACCGAGTGCTGTTTTGAAATGCTGACATTATATAAACGTAAAAGAAAATGTAAAAAAAAAAGAGAAGAGAAAAAATAAAAACCCACACACCAAACCAACTCATGCGATCTGTATTTGTATATACACTTGTCCATCCAAGTATACCGAAATAAAAATGAAAGATTTTCATCCTTTTAATTGGAGACCTCCTTCTACTTCTTTGTTCCTTGAGTGACGCCTTTATTCCAGGGGCTACTTGTACTCTGCTGATTTCTCGAAATCTCTGTGGACAGGAAAGATAATATGGCGTGTGTAAGAGGAGGCCCGAGAAACTCAAAGAATGCAGGGCTAGAAGTGGCTAACTATGGATGAGAAACGGTGATATTTCAGCCTTGTCTCTGTATTTGAGTCTTAAAATAGGCTCCGTGACAAGTCTTGCACCCTAAAATTGATCACTAAATAAAAGAGACAAATGCAAATTATGTCCTTTCACTTTTCACATGTATTTTCACCCCATCAAAAAAGGGGGGAAATGTGCGTTTTTCTAGTACATATCTTTCAGAAAAAGACAGTGAGTTAATGATCACTTCAGGAAAACTCCAGATTTAAATATCCACTAAAAAGAAGGAATTTGCCTACCAGTGTGTGACCTTGGATAGTCACACAGCATCTCTGGGACTCAATTTCCTTATTATTAAATGACAGGGTTGTGGAATGATTGGAGTTTATGAGTGGTGCTCGTGATGGCCACTGAAAATCCCATTTTGCCTCTGAGTGATACACATGAATTTTAATCTTGATGATGACATTGCTATAGGCACAATTGTAAAATTTCATCTGTGGAGGAAAAAAAGCTTCAAATATCTGACATAATAGACACCTAATGCATTTCAAGACTTGGCTTTAATTATACCATGTTAACAGTAAACTCATTGAAAGCTTTTATTACACTTAATTATTTGACAGGGTGCTAAACACTAATTATAACTTGCTGCAATCTTTTTCACTAATGAAGAATGACAGCTTTGTAAAATGAAGATCAGCTCACATTTGTAAAAGCACACAGGCATACCTTTGCGATGTCTTCAAACTGGACAAGCATCACATCGTCATTATCACCATCACCATCATCATCAGAAGCATTCAAGTTATCATGATATTGTACCGGTGCCATGCAAAGTAAAGTTAGTTGCTTATGAACTTCTAGAGTTTCCAATTCAAGACTGATATCAACTGTTAAGCCTGTCAGTACTATTGATAGACAAAAATCTAAAACGTGGTATGCATAAGTCACTGTCACTGTCCTCCCGTTTTCATCGATTTGCTCGAGCAGACCCAGTAACGTCTCCATTTTGAGACTTGTTGTTACTGTGTTTGGCATATTGAATATGTCACGGGTAGCTTGCCAGGCTTTGCCGTGCAGGCGAGATACTCTCGGTAGCTTGCCGGGCTCTCCAAGAGGGGCAGAGGAATTGAACCCGGCTCCGCTGGGCTGGCTGCATGCAAGGCAAATGCCCTACCGCTGTGCTATCGCTCCAGCCCATGCATGAGTACTTAAATTATTTTGAAATAATAAAAGGAGAGATTGTATAAGAGCTAAAATATTTGCCTCACATTTGGCTCACAGTTTGACCCCTAGCACTGCATTTGGTCCCCCAAAGCAGGGGTCACAAGCAAAAAGGCAGGAGTAGCCTCTGAGCACCTCTGGTATGTCTCAACCCCCCTTTTCCAACAACAAAATTTTAATTAAAAAATGTAGAAAAAATTGGGGGCTTTAAGATTAGAAAGCTTAAATGAAAGGAAATTACCTTTGCAAATTGCATGGAATTAGGAGCTTCTTATGATATAACAAACTTGTTAGCATTAAAAACAAAAAGTATTACAGATTTTAAGATAATGGTGAGTACATGGAGGCAACAGTTATAGTGGTAACTTTGGGGATGAGAAAAACCCACACAAGTTCTGAATGTCACTGAAGCAAATTGTGCAAATTGAGGGTCTTGGTTCAGAGAAAGCACCACAGTACCTAAAACCAGGCTGTGGTAGGAAATGACAAGTTCAGATCCTGCTTTCAAGATTAACCATCGATGCCGCTGACGCTCAGGCAGTAGTAACTACTTTGCATTCTGTGATGCCCAGGCCCTTGGTCAAGGTAAAGGCTGTGTAAGAGAGGAGGGGAAGAAAAAAATGGGTGAAGCACAGAACACACCAAACTGGGGGCAAGAGTCTGAAAGTGACTCTAAGTCTCTGATTCAGAACCTGATTCCCAAAGCG